TCTGCTCGCCGGGATCCGGCCCCCCCCGCGGCCCCCGAGAGTCGCGCACCAGGGGCCCCCTCCCGCCCAGGGCCACTCCCTGCGTGTGGGCGAGGTGGGCCCTCTTGCGGCCCGGTGCGTCTCTCCCGGTGGGGGGCCTGGCCCGGGGAGAGCGGCTCGGGCCAGGCGCTGCCGCCCCCTCGCATGGCCTTGCCCAGTTTTCCTCGGGGGGGCCGAGGTGTCGGCAGAAGCGGAGGCAGCGGCGGAAGCGGAGGCGGAGGCGGAGGACGAGGAGGGTGAGTCAGGGACAATGAGGAACGGCATGCGGAGGACGAGCAGAGGAATATGATGAGGAAGGTAATGATGATGTTGATGATGCTGATGATGCTGATGATGCTGATGATGCTGATGATGCTGATGCTGATGCTGATGCGGATGCTGATGATGCTGATGATGCTGATGATGGTGATGATGACGATTAGGATGATTATTATGATGATGCTGCTGATGATTGTGGCGGTGGTGGTAATGATGAGGATTATGATGACCACGACGATGATGATGATGATGCTGATACTGATCATGATGATGACCATAATGATGCTGATGATGATGGCGATGATGCTGATGATGATAATGACGGTGATGATGATGACGCGATGACGATGACGATGATGATTATGATGATGATGATGACGATCATGATGCTGATGCTGATGACGATGCTGATGCCGGTGCCGATGCTGCTGATGATGGTGATGATGATGATGCTGATGCTGATGGTGATGTTATTGAAGTGGTGGTGATGATGACGAGGACGATGACGATGACGGTGACGATGACGATGACGATGCTGACGAGGATGATGATGAAGAAGATGATGGTGATGATGTTGTTGATGATGATTCTGATGTTGATGTCGGTGTTGATGATTGTGGTGGTGGTGATGATGATCCTTATGATGACTTGACTTGACCTGGCTTGACTTGGCTCGACGTCACTTGACTTGCCCCGACTCGACTTGACGTGACTTGTCTCGGCGTGATTTGTCTTGACTTGACGATGCTAATGACTTGGCTTGGCTTGACTTGAATCGGCTCGACTTGACTTGCGCTGTCTATAGTCAGTGCCTGGAGCTCTTCAGTAATTGCGGCTGTGTCGAGAAAAATACCAGCAGCACGAGTCTTGGCACCCCTATTCAAATGTGGAGAAAAAACTCACACCAGGAGAAAGGGCTCCCCTGTGTTCACGGACGCTGACGCGAAACTGCGTTTCGACAGGAATCGTGTCCTACTTGTGACGTCGGACCTTCGCTGGGCGTTGGTGTCCAGAAGGGTCCCGCGGACCAATTCCACTCTTGCGCCCCCCATGGCTAAGATAGAGTTGCTTGCGCTGCGATATCAGCTCTGTCTCTTGATTTTCGCCCGAGGTTGAGCTGCTCGTGCTGAGGCACGTCTGGTTCCTAGCAGGCGTTACTCCTGCAGAGGCGGACTACGCGCTGCGGGCTTGCTCGTCGGCCGTCGCAATGTACCAAGTTCCCCTTCTTGATGGTTTTTTTCCAACAGAAAAAACTCGTGCGTGCCCAGGGGCCGAGCGAGGGCGGGGCGAGAGCGCGAGCCCGGGTGTCGCCTCGACGGTTAACGACGTTCTGCGCGACGCGGTCGCGCAAATTTGCGGCGGATGTCTCCTCCGCACGGATATCGGGCAGCCCTCCTGCGAGCATCGCTGCGCGGCACGATCTGGAGGGGAATGGTCAGTGGCGCGAAGCCCTGGGACGCGTGTGGCATTCTACGCCACAGCCTGGGCATATTGGGCCTACGCAGAAGCTGCGCGCAGTCATCCTCCTGCCGTGCTTGTGTCTCCGATTCGCGGCCAATCCTTGCTGACCTTTGCTCTGCTTGCCATAGACGGGACAGGTGCGCAAAGGCTTGTCAGAGGCAGCCGGAGGGGGAGGAGCCTGCTTCCCGCGCAGTTGGCGCTTGGCTGTTAGGTCGGGCTGGTCAGGGATCCACCTCTTCATCAGGGCGGCCTGGCTAATGATGATGATGACGATGATGATGATGATGATGATGATGATGATGATGATGATGATGCTGATGATGATGGTGGTGATGATGATGGTCACGATGACGGAGACGGTGACGGTGATGGTGATGGTGATGGTGATGGCGATGGCGATGGTGATGGTGATTGTGATGGTGATGATGGTAATGATGGTCATGATGGTAATGATGATAATGATGATAATGATGTTAATCATGGTGATGCTGAGGATGCTGATCATGATGATGGTGTTGCTGATGGTGATGATGCTGATGATGGAAATGCTGATGAGGATGATGATGATGATGATGGCAATGATGATGACGATGATTATGATGATGATGATGTTGATGATGATGAGGATAATGAGGAGGATGAGGATGACGATGATGATGCAGATGATGGTGATGATGGGAAGGAGGAGGAGGAGGAGGAGGACCAGCGTAAACCCAAGAGACATCAACGATGTTGGAATAAACCCTCCAAGCTCCCTGTTCATAGGTTCATTTCCATCGAGGGAACTGCCTCGTTTGAAGTTTGAAGACCCTGAAGCATGCCAAAACATTGTTCTCGGGATTCCAACGCCGTAGATAAACCTGACTGTGGAGTTTTGACGACCCTGAATCGTGCCGGAACGCCATTCTTGGGACCTCAACACCGCGAATGAATGTAACTGTTGCGTCGTCATAATTTTGAATCCGTCCAACACGTTATTTCTGGTAGTTTGGTCATGGAAACCCGCGAAAGGTTTGCACAGTTTATAAACGAATGCGCGCGGCGCTAAGGCGGGAGCCACATTTTGAACAGGAACCGCCCTCATTTCGTGAAACGTCTTGCAAATACTCAAAACGAATGCGCGCGGCGCTGAGACGAGAGTCACATTTTGAAAACTGGTTCCCCTCAATCCGTGAAGCTCTTGCAGATGCTTAGAACGAATGTGCGCGGCGCAAAGGCGAGAGCCACATTGTGAGAACGACCCGCCCTCAATCCGTGAAGTTCTTGCAGATTTTATGAAAGAATGTCCGCGGCGCTAAGGCGGGAACCACATTTTGAATACGACCCGCCCTCAATCCGTGAAGCTCTTGCACATGTTTAAAAGGAATATACGCGGCGCTGGGGCGAGAGCCACATTTCAAAACGTCCCGCCCTCCATATGTGAAGCTGTTGCCAATGTTGAAGCTTCAGGGTCATGAATGGGGAGGAAGTCGCAGGCGAAACGCCCGGCCCGCTCTAAAAACTAGCCTGGGGGTGCGACGGCGAGAAGTTATTTACAAGGGCAAGGAACGGAGGAGGAGGAGGAGGAAGAGGAGGAGGAAGGAAAAGGAGAAGGAGGAGGAGGAGGAGGAGGAGGAGGAGGAGGAGGAGGGAGGAGGAGGAGGAGGAGGAGGAGGGAGGAGGAGGAGGTGGTGGAGATGGAGGAGGATAAGGAGAAGAAGAAGAAGAGGAGGAGGAGGACGACGAGAGGGATGAGGAGGATGAGGAGGAGGAGGAGGAGGACGACGAGGGGGAGGGCGGGAAGGAGGAGAGGGAGAAGGAAGGTTGAAGTGGAAGTCAGTGCAAGGTGGAAGACCAGGAAAGATGATGATGAGGTGGAGGTGCATGATGATGTTGATGATGCTGAGGATGATGATGGTGAAGAGGAGGAACGAACGAAGCTTCTGGTGCGTGTCTGAGTAAGCTACACGCGCTCTGCACTACTACCCTCGGCAAAGTGAATATCACACGCGTATCATTCAGGTCCCTTGTCGATGTGATGTCCCGGGCTTGGGTGAAGTTGCGCGCAATGGCGCGGCATCTCCAATGCTGGCATCCGTGCTTCCGAGTCGCACCCGGCCAGACCGCGTTCCGCTCTGCTTCGCCATTGAAGAGTGCGACATTGACTGGATGAGAAGGGGCGACGCTGAAGTGGCGCGCCAACCACCTTTGATGTTCAGGTTGACGAGGGTCGTAGGATCGGCTTTTGCAGCCGAGTACTTCGGGACACGCCCGCCCTAACACAGATTTAGGATACCGGAGACCTTGTCTACTGCCTATATGGGCCACAGAGAGACGCGAGCGAACGAGCGCTAGCGGACTCCGATCCACGTGCTCTAAATTGTGCTAGAATCTCAGCGCTCGAGGACCGCTTGGGACGCTTAGGGGTGGGGGAGACTGCGAAGGCGAGGGGGAGGTTCAAGGCAGCTCGTCACAGAGGTCTCATGCAGAGGAGGAGGAGGAGGAGGAGGAGGAGGAGGAGGAGGAGGAGGAGATGGTGGTGAAGGAGGAGGAGGAGGAGGAGGAGCAGCAGCAGCAGCAGGAGCTGGGGTAGAGAGAGAGGATTACCCGCAAAGACATCCGCAGGGAGCGGGGAGGAGTGGGGAGGGGTAATTATGGGGGTCAGCACGGGATCAATTCTGGCATTCGGGGTGGGGGGAAGGAACAAGGACGATTGCGTTCATCGCACCCTCTTGAGACTCGCTGGGAGTCTCACCCTTTGTCCATCTGAGCCAGCAACAGCTCTCAGGAGACGTTGCCCAGGGTCTCTCGTCGTAGATGCACAGCCAGGTCTTTCCCCCCCTCTTCTGTCTCGTTCGCGTTCGAGGCAGACTCGGCAACACTCCTGGGCCCCGCCGACACGATCAACCTGGACCCTCAGCGCTGCCTGCTATCGGAATCGATATCAGCACCCAGCATCGCCCGCCGCCCTGAGGCCGACGACGCCGCAGGAAGCGACGAGGTGTCAGCAGAACGGCTGGCCCCGCCGGCACGGTCGACCTGGGCGTCGCAGGCCGCCCGAAGGCCGATGACGCGCGAGTTTGGTGTGCAACAGCCTCTCCGTGCGCGGCACGGGCGCCATGCCCGACTTGATTTCGTCTCCGATCTGCTCCGGGCACTTCGCTACGAGTTCCGAGTCCGCTGACTTTCCCATGGCCGCCTTCGCATGCGTGTCTCTGTACGTCGACGCAGCCTTCGCGAACGAAAACCAGATCTCGTTCACA